CTTTTTTGACAAAACAACAACGTGGCATTGAATTTATGAGTCAATTTGAAAGTGGATTAAAAGAAGCATTAAAAGAAATATCATTTGATATAATACATATTTTGATATAATATATTACTATTATATATTTAATATATAACTATTATATTTGGACAAAATATAATAGTATTTATGATACAGATGATTTATATATTGCAGTTGTGCTTGCAACAATTTATATTCGAATAATAAAGTGTCTTATATATTGATAATTTTAATGATATATTATATTTTAATATAATTTATATAATAATTAATTTACATAATTTTTTTAAATATAATTTTTAATAGTTTTTCAATCGCTTTTTCTTTCATTTGCATTTAATTATAAAATACATATCTGAAAAATGTACTCGTGGAGACAATTTTGCAATTGAGTCACATATTTAGACATTGTGAATGATTTCCTATATTAAGTGTCATATTTTTGTCCGTTTTTTTTTTACATGTGAGTACACCCTTAATCCTTCCTTCTCACTGATTATGTGAACAATATATATCCGACGTCATTTTATTACGGTAGCTAGAATGTATCTCATGCGTCATCGTAATCAGCAGAAACAACCCTTGCTTGTGAATTATAAGGAATAATCTCTCCCTTGAATGCAAAAGTATTCTACTTTTGTAATAAATCTCTGACGCAATATAATTATTTACGCTTAAGTTGAGTAAAAGTGCTTTTATATTTCAAGTGGGACGCACATATTAATCTATTATATTTACATGTAGAAATGTTATTTATAGGCTATTCTTATTTTTATATACAAGATATCTCGTGAGATACATGGCTCCAAACACGAAAGAGGTGATAATCGAAGCAATTTCATGTACATTTTCACGCACATTTCTTTACTTAGATGCAGTATGAAAGATATGACTCGATGAAAAAACGCGTTTTCTCGCTAAATTTTGATATACGTTTTGATAAACAAATATTGCCACCAACGCAATTTTTCTATTGCACACAACCCGCCCACGTTTATAAAATAATAAAAATGCTACACTATATATCTTCATTTTCTTGTTCTATAAAAATTGGTATTTAAATTTGTACCGAAATTAGAATGAATGCGTATATATCCACCAACATTGATTCGGCGAATTAATCTTCTTGGATTGTTAGCTTGTTAGCCGTAGTGACCATTTTGCGAATGGTGGGCGGCACTTTAAACCGACAACATATCAATTCTCTTCGTCTTGGAGCTTTCGAAATGCACGTTAATTTTCAGGGAAAAGCATATGATTATCTAATGGATCCCAGAACAAACACAAACTCGCGTGAATTTTAGCGGAAGGTAACGTAGCAAAAACGGTACGGTATTGCCGAGAGATGTGCACACACTTCCTGAGAAAGTTTCAACCGCGTATATGCGCGATACATAGTGTGTGCGCGGCAATGATAATTGCTCTCAATGTATATAGTTCGTCAGCAAACGCTATAATCACTTTAATCGGCGAGCACATCCGTCAACCATCGAGGATTTCATTAGGAGTCACTTGTCGCAGTACTCGGAAGGTGCCTAGTACTGGGAAGCCACGCACGTGTAAACTCGACATAGCCGTCTCATAACCGCCCGATTATAATTTACCGGCTCGCGCAATTTCACAACTCAAGATTAAATTGTGACGTTAAATTCACTGCAATTTGCTGGGAAACATTAGAACTGACGTCCTCAAATCGAGAATGTAAAGTAACGCATAGCAAACAGCTAGAAAGTAACGTGAGCAGCATCGTGGACGATGTATGAAAATATCGTCCAGCAAGTTGTAATGCGTAATCTGAGAAAAAAATACGACCTCTCTCTCGTTCCCTTCGCCCTTTAGAAGAAAAACGTACGTGCCTTTGGTCCTTATATAATGTGCATCGTAAAATGCACGTCGTAACTTTTCATCTGAAGAATAACGTGGTACGTGAGAGAGAGACCGGAAGGCCTGAACGAGGTCAATATTAAACAAAACTGTGTTCAAAGTGAAATGTTTCAAAATGTCTCATTAATCTCAAAACATAAAATTGCTTAACGAGTGGAATTAATAGCACAGTTAAGTGAATCTCGTTTTCTATTAATTAATATTAAATCTCATTTTTTCGTCTTCTGTCTAATCTTTGGCTAGAATTTTATTAAAGGTAAAGCTGCTCATATTTCGTTCATAAATTCAAAAACCTGATTTTCGAGCTCGAGATAATACCAAATGAGCTTTTCATATGGAGCAAACAAAATTAAGCGGCTAGATATGAATTATAAATAGAGATTCTATGATTCTTGTATATATGTATATATTTTATTACATTTAATACAAGTAATTAATTACCATTTAAATATCAATGTTATAATAGCAATATTATCTAAAGAAAATTAAATTAAACCTCCATGAATATATTTATTACTATTTAATTATTAATACTATCTAGTGCGCGAAAGAGGGGAACTTTTAGAGATACATTAGAGATGCGCGGAGTTAAAATGCAACCATTTTCTCGGAAAAAAGATTTCGTAATTATTTTATTTGTGCGATCGCATTCATTTCCATAATTTCAAAAGATTCAAAATATATGTTGCTCGAAGATATCTTTTTAAAGTCATCTGTTTTAAGAGGATTACATTTTCCAAGCCCACGTCGGTGTCTTGGTAATTAATTAAAAGGTTTGCTATATATATAATTTGTATGAATAATGAAACTTATATTTTCTTCAGTTTAACAAAGACAGAAATATGTATCTCTTTCATTGCCACTTATGACTATAAAAAATCTGCAAATTAAAAATTCAAAATAAATACAAAATAAATACAATGTTATCCAACAATGCGAGTAAATTATGCTTTGAGTAATTTATGTTAAAATTATTCATTCGTTCCCTATTGTGAGTCAACATTTAAATTTTTAAGAGAGCAAGCATAGAGAAGCTTAAATAACTTGTTAGTTGAGAAGCTTAACTTATATTTTTTTAAACTACAAAGTCAACGATGACGATCTAAAATACGAGTCTTTTAAATGTAACACGTACCATTCATCATTCATAAAGTTCGCGAAAATGAAAAGTATCAGTTTTACGCGCTTTTGTTCTCGTCTTTTGTTCTAAGGATTCTTGGTCAATGTCAGGTTGTGTCAACGGAACACTGAGAACAGAAATATATGCTTCGTTCACCGGTGGAGGCTATTTAATGCCTGTAAGCTTTTAGAGAGAGAGAGATACGGCGCGGTACGCTATACTATTCCTTTCCATTCGCTAACGCGTTACTGTATACACGAATTACGTATACATATGGAAATGTATATGAGCAAAGAGGCGTGAAAAGAACAACGGAAATTATATTCATTCGAGCGTGCTACGTTGTAATATATAATAAAAATAATTTTTCAGTCAAAAAAATAAATATATTTATTTCTCGTGTATCCCCGACACCGTTAAAAATAATAATTCAAAATATTATTTTTTTATTTTGCACATATTTTTGTTACATGTTATTGCAGTTAACATTTCATCGAATATTTTGTAGCAACTTAAAATGTAACATATGTGACATTAATGACGCGATAAAACGTTATCTGATACGATATTTGTTATAATTAAGCTTAAAGCATTGTGCATAAAGTTTGAATGAATATTAATAAATACTTGAGTGTTATATTATATTCGAGTATTTTAAATTAAACATTTTTCGAATGTAAAAGAGTTTTGTTTGACATAAAAATAATGCAGTTTAAATATACCTAATTGACACATTAGAGTTAGACACATGTAAAATTATTTATCGATAACAAGAATGATGTATTTTTATGGATTTAATTCTCTTTCCAATAATATGTAATTTTTTTAGATTATGTATAATTGCTTAATAATGAAATGAGTAAGGGAAATTTAACTGCGCGAATTCTATTGATATTCAATGCTTTTTTCCAAATCAATATCACAAATAATCAGTTAAAAAATTTGTTCTGTTTGTAATTTGTTGTGTTTGGTAATTTATTAGTATTCATTTTTTCAAATTACTATTTTTTTAATTAATTAAACATACATTGCACAGTGTTTTTATTTATATATTGAAATTAAATTCTGTAATCTGTATATATATTGAAATTAAATTCAGTAATCTGTATTCTAAAATTATCAAAAATAGTTATTTCTATTCTTAGCTAGTTATTTCAGAGATTCGACGCACACATCACACATACATAATTAGTAGTGTAGCCAGACTTTAATGACGTATGAGATAAGCGGCGTGAAGAGCTCTACTCAGTAATTATGAGAGACTTGCGTGATAGTAAAGCTGCGACCTAATGCCACCGTTATAACAGCATTGCCTTTTATACCGCTTGCATTAAGCAACATTAAAAGGATGCAGGACTTTAAAAATCTATTAAAAGCCAAAGTGTAACGTCGCTGTAAAACATATAAATTTTACGTTTATTGTAACTTTTGAAAATCGATTTGTAATTATCGAATCAAAAATAGATGTACCATCAAAGATGTGAAATGCGAAAGTTACAGGATACAATTTTCACTTTACGCTTCTATATGGTAGCAATTGCCGCAAGGACTTTCGTTGTTTTACCTATGTATTTGGTTTGAGTCATACCATGCTTTCAAGCACTATTTATTTTGCTTTGAAGCGAGCATCAGAAGAGAGCGGTAATGTTTCGATACAGACAGACATTATTTACAATTCTTTTCTCCTTTCAGAGCATTCCTGATATGAAATTGTAATCAACTGTGTCAGTTTCGTTTTGAACGTATAGCATTCAACAGAATTTTCCGGTTATGGCTAACGATAAGATTATGGCTAACGATAAGGATAAATTCGATAAAAATATTCAACGTTATTGTTCTAATTTCTTATATTATGCTATTTGTGCACCTATTTATTTTGCCGTAATGTACAAATTTGTAGAAATTTTTACTCATTTATTATTGATGCGTTCTTACTCAGAAATCGATCTGTGATATACGTAAGTTTATTTCGAAGAATACCACAGAAGATGTTTCTTTTTTGATAAAATTTAAAAAATGTAAGTATGCTTTTATTAAAATGATATAAAATTTGTAATTTTTAAGGAATAATTTTTAATTATAGGTATTGTTTTAAAATTTCGATAAGATATTCATATCTGACGTGTTACAAAATAAGATTAACTAACAGTTTTTCGTGACAGAAAGGTAAATAAATGAGAAAGATAATAGTCTATCTAATAAATAATTTTCAATTATATTTATTCCTAAATTTGTTATTTTTTCAGTGTATTTAATATATGACAAAGCAGATGTAAAAACAACAATATAATTCGAAGAATCTACTAGTATCTGTACATATATAAATTCAAACTGGATGTAGGAGGACGCGTATAAATACAAGCCAATTATAAGAATGCTGAAATTAATGTTTACACTTCAGAGATTTGATGATTATCAGTTATTTTTAATAATAACAGAAAAAGATCGAAAACTGAAATATTGTAAAATGTACGTACATATCTTAATTTGAACTGTTATCGCCAACTAATATAATAGAGAATTGTATTTTGCTGTTTCCTCCTGTACGTTCTCATCTTTTCTCTAATCGACAAGCAATCCATTATTTATTGTGCTAATGTCTACATACTCATTCACGTAGAAATATTTTTTTTTCTGTCCCTTGATATAAATTGACAAAGAAGGAAATTGCATTACAGTTACATTACAATCGCCTTACATTATAGCATAAAATTGAAATAATATAGAATCGAGATGTTATCGAAATTAATATCTCATATTTTAACTTTGTATAAGCTGAAATATTTTAAATATCTTGAATTGTAACATTAGATTAATCATATGAATTAATTAACAATATATTGTGACATATTTTATTTAAAACTGAAAACTAATTTATAATGTCATGTTCTTATTGTGGAAATATCATTATATTAAATATATATTTGTACAAATATATTTAATATAACAATATTTCTGTAATAAAAAAATATTTATAAAACTATATATGTGAAATAAAAAAGAATATTTTGTTTTTTTAAATTATAATTTGTGTATAATACATTATAATTGACGCTAAAATTATATATATTCATAATACAATGTTATTAAATATATATATATATATATATATATATATATATATATTTTAACATTATATTATGATTATGTGTATGTATTTATAATATGATGTTAATATATAGATATATATATATATATATATATATATATATACACACATATATATACATACACACATATTTATATATGTATACATGTATTTTTATATATGTATATATGTATGTATATATATTTGTATATGTGTGTGTGTGTGTGTGTGTGTGTGTGTATATACATATACGTACATAAATATATATATTGACATCAATATATGCATGTATGCATGTATACATATTAATATCGCAAATATTTTTTAGAAAAAGCAAGAATAATTTATAATCGCTCTTTAGAAACAGCAATTTATCAAACATGTTATCGTTAGCAACCTTTCGCAGTTTTCCCCTTGCTGGTATGTTTATTTATTGGGTGCTTTGACATTTCGTATATATGATTTATCAGACGTAAAAGATAAATTAACCGCAAAAGCAGAATAAAGAATATAAAGGCATATATATGCAATGTAACAATTTTATATGTAATCAAGTATTATGTCTAAATTTATTAAAAAATTGTAATAATATGTACAGAGACTAGCAAAAAATATAAATATAAATGTATAATATTCTTCTTATTATTCCCATACACGTGCAGATGAAAGAAGCGAAAGTTTAAAAGTCAAAAATAAAAATGTGCATTAGGAAAACAATGTAGTTTTTTTTCAGTCAATATTCCAGTCTATTTACCTGCGCTTCAATTCCTATCCATTCTCTCTTGTGTCACATATTTATATATATTTTCATATATGTGATTCTATAGAATATTCATTTCCCTCAACGTTACATAAATCTACAGAACAGTTCTCGGGGGATACATGCGTCCGATTCATTACACGTCAATATAAATCGGTATTAAACTTGAAAAAGTATAATCTTGTCGTTTCTGTGCCTGTTGCTGTAAAATAATTTTCTGAAGAATTGATTTGTGATATTCCTAAGAAATTGTTCTTTCAATAAATATCAAGTTTTATTAATAATCGAGGAGAAGATATCTATTACATTGAAAATAAGGAGCTTAAGATATTTTAAAATGAATCACATAAATTTCTATCCTGTAAATTCTATAAATTCTATAATTTTATATTTAAATTTCTAACAAATTGTTTGATACATTTAAGATTATTTGAAATTATTATTATAAATCGAGACACACATATATATGAAATATAAATTTTTATCATATTTTATCTGTTATATTTCAAAATGTCGATACTATCGCGTTTAATTTTATATTCGATTTGTAGTGTGCTTTGTAAATGCCCATATAAATTATGGATGAGAAAAGGATTATTCTGAATAGATTAACATATATGACAAGTTGCTACACAAGAATCAGTAATTTAATTCGATATAATAACTACTATTCTTTTGCCTCGTTTATGATAGGAAGAATCATATAATATTCGACTGCTTTCTTATTAAAGAAAATCTATATATCATATATATATTTAAAAAAAAATTAACATATGTCTCTAATATTTTTATATAACCGTGATTCTATATCAAACTTCAACTTTTTGATTAAGCAAAATTGTTTAATTAATAATTATTTCTTTCCGCACCTACTTTTATGTACATGATTTCAATTTTATTTTAATAACATGAGTGTAGCGGATATAAAGTTCGTACAATTGATGATAATATTTCTAAACGATGTAAATTGTGTGCGTCGTGGGTGGCGATTTTCACAGAGAATGCTTCATATTTGCTTTAAAACTTTGTGAATTCACGAACCAGATTGAGAATCGGGGAGCAATTTACAATTATAATGCCTCTCTTAAGTACTACAAAGCAATTCCATGAACTGTATCCTTGTAGCTCTTTCGATCTTTTCAAATGGATGATTGCGCGATTCCGATCTGGGAAATTTAAATTGCTTTTAATATATAAAAAGAAAATATTATACTTACATTTATCCAAAATTGCACAAAAGTAAATTCAATTCAATGCAATTTAAATTGTGACAATAATGTGTTTCAATTAATAAATATGTATTAAATGATTATTTAATATTCAAAAATTTAAAAGATTTTTAAAGAAATTTTTATTCATTTAGATTGACATAAAGAATGTGAAATAGATCATTCTTTATGTGATGTATATACGTTGTAAGAAAAGTTTGTCATTTATAAAAATTAAAAATAATTATTGCTATTTATAATTCATAACACACGAGATATTTTTTATTTTTTAGTCTTAATATTTATATTTAATAGTTTATAATTATTAGTCATATTGAAATGAATAACTAGTTAAATAATTTATTATACCGAATATAATGTGAGATTTAAATATTCTTTTGTATTTATATATAGAAAGATGTATTTAGCTTGTATTATTCTTCTTTTCTTACAGATCTTATATTGCCGCGATTGATCTTGTATGTCAAATTTATATATTTATATTTTTTTAAGCCACGAACAATATACAGTATAATGGATATCTATAGCTTTCACTTATTGAGATGTTTTAATTCTCGATATACATTTTGATTAAATTTTAAATTTAACTCTTTAAAATCCTCCAACGAAAAAGATGAGATTTTTCATTTCAAATATAAGTAATTTTCTCAATAATCATCGATATATTAAAATTAAAATATAAAAACAAATTAATCATAATTATTATTTATTATTCCATTTAATATAATTGATTGAACTTTCTGCAAGATCTTCATAATTGAATTTAATTTGTATCTGCTAACTTAAGTCGCGCGCCATTTTATAGTCGATGAATACAAAAGTCTTATTTCTTTTTTTTTTAATTGCATACTTAGGAGTTGATTAAGTTCAAGCAATAACGGAGTGCTATCCAATTACTGCCGGATTAGCGTCCGGTTAGCTGGCAATGAGAAAACTTGTCTGCTTAGGACGATTACCGTTTAAGAGCCTCCAAATTGTATTTACCTCGAGCCTCGTAATCCGCGATTTACCACGTAAATTTCTAACGAGCTTCCAATCAGAATCTCATCTTATCTCATCTTAACATCCGGCTCATCTATTTCAGTACACAGGATTGTGCATTTTAAAGATAAGAATGACGGCAATAATTTTTATGTAATTCATACAATAATCTTGTAATGATATATATGTATGTATATCAAACTCAATATGTAAAATACACATACATTATAAGTAGTTCATTTTAAAACATTACTATTGATTCGAGTCGAAATTTTTTTTCTAATTTCGATTGTTCAACCTTTGATACTTTAATCATTCAGATCACTATATTAAAAGTATTTAATCTATAATTTGGCCGAAAACTCTTACTTTAAAACTCTAAATAAAAAAAAAGGTTGGAAATAAAAGCAAAATTTTGCTTTTCAGGTTAACACTTCAATGATTTTTTTTATGTTACGTGCACATAATATAGTATGATATTTGCGTAGGCGATCTTGAGTAGGTAGTAACACGATTCACACACACATACTCTGTATGTTCTTCTTTAAAATGTGACATTTTTTACAAAGAATTATTATCTGTACCATTAATCAACTTCAAAATTTATATATATATGTACATATAAAATACTTTATTTCAATTAAGAAATATTTATAGTGGCGAAGATTGACGGCAATCGCTGCTCATTTTTTGGAACATATTTTATTGCATCAGGTTCTCACTCGATGAAATCTTCTTACTTTGAGAAATTGTCTTCCAAGATCTTTTAGATAAAATGATGCGAATACGTATCATCTATTTTCGTCTTTTTCACCCCTTTATTTATCATAAATAACCCAGAAATGTTGAACATCATATGTGTCATAACAACCCCCCGCTTATACTTTATCATATGGTGCGTTGAAATCTCTCTGACATTGCTGTTTCGTCTTGCGAACTACTATCTTTCAGACTCAACAAGCTTTCTGTCCGAAACATTAACGCAACATTATCACATGTGATTATTAAAATACATATCATTTGTATAACATTTTTAAATCACAATTATACAAACAAGTTAATTATATTAATTGAGACATATTTCAATGAACAAAGATATATGATATTATTTTTATAATTATCTCATTATTATTTTTATCTTATCGTCATTTTTTCTATAATACCTAAGATATCAATATTAAGTATCAAACTGAAAAATATAAAGATTTAAGTGTATAAAATAAAAGTAATACAAATGTATAATATTATTTTTTTCATACAATTAATATTCCAGCTTAAATTTTCTTAAAATTTTTTAAAAATCAGTTAATAATTTCATCATGAATATATTTTTATGCAAACAACGTATTAGAAATAATGATTTTTATATCAATTTATTTTTCTTTCGTAATGATCAATTATTAAGATCTTATTACATTTTTAAATAAATTAATAATTTTTATATTAACTTTTCTCTTTCTTTCAGTCAAAGGATAAATATTATTCACAAGTTAATATAGAACCACTTTCGATTTGTGTAGCGATGTTAACGCAAGAATTTTTCCCCTTTTTCTTTTCGTGTTCCCTTCATTAATATACAACAGTCACGCAAACAATCTTGCACTGGTGTATGCAAATGAGAAGCACATATCGCAGTCGAACATGTGACAAAGTGATAATGTTATCGC